TACTCAGGTCTGCTCATTTCTCATCCTGCAGTGTGGGCCAAGCTGAAACTACAGAAGGCATCAGAACGATGGCAGCCCGACACTGAGGTGGGTGTGACTGTAACGTCAGGTATAGCATCAAGTGATGGAGACCCTCATCGTGTAGCAGGAAGGTGAACGACGGCCCCTAGTTCACTGCAGTAGCGAGTATAATGTGACAGTATCTGTATATTGGCTCTTGACATGTAAGCTTAATTTACTTGTGATATTAAATTTGTCAGACTTAAATCTGTGTCTTAAGACAGGTTGTAGTCTCCCACTGAAATGTTGAGGTACCCAGTGTCTTGTCCTGACCCCAGGGATTCATAAGCTAAGAAGTTGAGAAGCCGTATCATAGATTAGATCTCCTTTGAGGATATCATCTAATGAGAGATGGTCCTCTCGTGGGGTAGGAAGGCATCCTTGTTGGTCTTGAGATAGTCATCTCAAATATAGCAGATTTCAGAGATGAGGATGATATATATATATATGAAGTATGACAGTAACTCTTTTTCTTTTAGGTGAGTGGTTTTCAATAATCCCTTTTTAGCAGCAATGCTCTTTTCACACTATAATATAGAATTCTGATACATAAAATAGAATAAAGCAGAACTGCTCTGGAAGAGGGAAGCTTAGCCTATTTAGTCTCCCTTTCAGCCTCCCTTTCTGAAGTGGCCTCTTGGGAACAAACCCACCGTTCTTGGGAACTGTTTGAAAACTGTTCTTAGGTCAGCCTTTCTCAACCAGGGTTCCTCATCTTAAACACAGAAAGTGATTTGAATGAACTATTTTCTATCCCAAGGATGAGTCATAAGTGTACCATTCTAGATCCCTAAGAGAGAAGTTAGTTCATTACACACAGTGGATGCCTTAGGGCAGTGGGGCTTAATCTGTTTCTCTTCCAGAATCCCAGTTAAGAAGGGCTGTCTTAGATGAATGCCATGGAATCAGGCCAGAGTGAGCTCAGGCACTCAGACACTGGTTCCAGACATTCCCCCAGGAGGTGTAGCTAACAGTGTTCCCCTTTTCTTTCAGGAAGAGTATGAAGACTCCAGTGGGAATGTTGTGAATAAGAAGACATACGAGGATCTGAAGAGACAAGGGCTGCTCTAGTGTTCAGAATGTGTTTCGGCTTCTGGCTTGCCCAGGCTTCCCGAAGATCTGCTTTTTTTACTTCTCCCAACCAAGTGCTCCTGAAGACTTTGCTATTTAGTCTTATGGTCTAGCATGCATCTTGTAGAGACAAGGTATGCTGGCAGATTGCAGGGTGGAGATGTGTTTTATCCTTGTTTTATATTAAAAACGATTCTGTCAGAAAATAAAACCAGCCCTTGTTCTGAATGTGTCTTGTTCTGAAGCCCTGGATTGTGGACTAACTCAGTCCTTTAGTTCTTAACCCATCCCTACCACTTTCTCATCAACTTCAGTAGCAGCTAAGGCTTAATGAGCTCCTGTTAGGTGCATCTGACGTAACCTCTTTCCCCACTTCCCCAGATGAGCATCAGCCCAGAAGAAGCCCTTCCCTTCCTCAGCTGAGTCAGCCGTTCATGCACATACTAGGAAAATATGGGGAGGGTGACGCAGGGCCTCTGCTAAGGACAAAGTTGTTGGCACTAAGGTTTGCCTTTTTTATTTGCATAAAGAAACGCATTGGGCCCTTTGGGAAGGGCCCGCAGCCCTGCCCCTCCCCCATCAGCAGCCTGCACGCAGTCCAACTAGGTCCAGCCTTGACTTCACCTCTTGCTGGTTCAGAACGAGTCTACGATCCTGTCTGTCTGTTTCTTCTACAAGATCCTTCTTGACTGAGAAGTGGCTAACATTCTTCTGCCCTCCAAGCCCCGATAGCCAGGATTTGGGTGGAGTTGAGCAGCTGCCCCAAGAGCTGAGTCTGGTGTCCCAAGTGGAAGGAACTAGGGGAGCCGAGGAGACAAGGCTGTGCCCATAGGCACAGCGTCTGAAGGCCAGGGCCTGCTCCAGAACAGGCTTTCCAGGGGACCCCTCTGCCCCTCAGCACTCAAGACTTTGTTGGCTTGTGATATATTTACTAGTAAAAACCCTGACTCGGACTGGCCCTCTCTCACACCTGTTTCCCCAGTCATCTCCATGGCAGGCGGGTTTCACAGCCCTGTCCCCATGTCACTTCACTCTTCTTGTTTGTTTCCCCCCACCCCTGCCTCTGTCACTTCACTCTTGGCTGGTATTTTCCTTCCTGGTTCAACCCATCCCTTGGGCAGCTCTTCACATGCTGGTTTGTGCTTTCGCTCCTCCAGTTTAGAATCCCAGTTGTAGAAACTCTCCAGGGCCTGAGCTTCTGATGCAGAGTGAGTGGGTAATGAAGCCTAATTAAGCCAACTAGAAACATTGGTTACCAAAAACTAGCCCAAAGTGCAAAGAGACATTGCCATTTGGGAAGAGAATTAAAGCTTTGGAAATGGGAAATGTGGGGAGGAGTGGAGGGTTGCTCTTTTTTGGTTTAGATCAGTAGTTCTTCATCTTTTAAGGATCATAGATTCCTTTGGAAATACAAAGATAACTGGATTTTCTCTCTAGGAAAATATACATGCATAGACATTTCTGCACACAATTTTAGGGGTTCATGGAGCTCCAGAAGTCCATCCTTGGTTCCTAAGTCTTATAATAAGAGCCATGGAGTCAGTTCTGCCAGGGCGCTTCCTGCCGAGAATAGGTGATTCAGCTCACTCTTCAAGGACAAAAGCTGCCCCATCAGAAAAACAGCAGGACTCTGCCGCTCCCAGCCCAGGCAGGAAGCATCTGGGGAGTTGTTCCTGGGACCAACCCCAAGACTGGTGCTGCTGAACCCAGAGGCTGATCCCGGGACGAACCTTCCAAGAGCAGGAGTCCCCTAGCTCCCCATCTCTGAGAGGAAAGCGAATAAATCTGTGTCCAGCCTCCATCAGGCATCCCTTCCTACCCTTTCCTTCTGTTCCCCCTGCCTGGGGTCAGCTTGTGTTGATGGAATGCTCTACAAAGGGAGCACCCTAAAGGTAACCAATGTTGAGGAAGCGAGGGGCAGGCAAGATCCGGAGGTTTTTCTCCTCTGCATTATTATGATTATGATGATTATTCTGTTTATCCTTGGGATGATAGTTACCTCTCCCCTTGTCGATCGAGTCCTGCCAGCATCCTCACCTCAAAGTTCTTGTGGTGGGAATGGGCCTGTGACCTCTCCCCGCACGTTATCCTTTCCACTACCAGCCAGACAGTTCTCCCATTCCAGGTGAACCTTGGGAGGACACCGCCCTGCCCTCCCTCCGATCTCTTCTGAGAGCCCTCTCTACCTGCCAGATTTCTGATCTACACAAGGCAAGTCCCAGTGCGATGTTGTGATGGGGTCCTTCGATCTGCCCAAGCTGCCAGTTGACTTTATTTTCTCGCAGCTGCAGTCTAGACATTGACTGTGCTGCTGTTTTTTGTTTGTTTTGTTTTGCCTGTGTACCCTGTGTATTCCCAGTGGCAGCAACATCAGAGGGAATTCCCAGAGCTGGCAAATGATTGGAGGGGAGGAGGGGCAGCCGGCAGCCTCCCTGACTCAAGCACACACACTCACTATCCCCCTCCGCACCTGCAGATACACAGGTAGGTCTACAGCGGGGAGGGGGTGGGGTGCAGAGAATATTGAGAATATTCTCTCGAGCCACGGAGAGGGGCACAAACTAAAGTAGACGGGGAAGGAGCCAGAACTAATACAGACTAGGAGGTAACCATCCAGGCTTTGCCTGGCATTCTGAATCTGTTGAGTGTCTGGCGCCTTCACACCCCTGAGCTGTCCCTGCAGCCTCATCTACCCGAAACAGGGAGGAAGAAGAAGGGCTTGTGGGGGAGGCCTGGGCCCTTTCACAAGGACACAGGGACCTTTGGACCCTTCTCTTAACCTGTTCATCTTTGGAGATGGAGGTCCCCTTGGAGAGGTGCCGACTGGATGAGAGCTGCTCCTTGAGTGTAGTGTTGGAGGGCAGAGTGGAGGGGCTGAAGCTCCTGGTGGTAAGGAGGGGTGAGGGTGGAGAAAGAAGTGGCCCCTATTGCCAAGGGGTCCTATCCTGCTTCACCTCAGCACCCTGGATGCTGAGCATCGCCCCATGTGTGCATTAAAGACCACCGCCAGAAGGGGCCCAGCCCTGAGGGGGTCTTAGCTCCAGCTGTCACCTGAGAGACAGATCCAAGTGCTGATGGATCTATAGCCATGAGGACAGGGGAACATGCCCCTTTAGCCCTGGGAATGTTGGGGGCTGGGTCGTGCTCAGCCTCCCAGGGTTGCGGGGGAAGATGGGAATCATGTACCTCTCATCTCCGGCACCTTTCTGCCTTGCATGGAAAAACCTGAACTGGGCTTAGCAGACCCTTTGACCCCTCAGTCCTGTGGGAGGTAAAGCCAGGATCCAGATAGCCAGGGTCTGAGAGCTACCTCCTGCCCTTGGCTCTGCTCTGATTTAAGAACAGGGTGGGGTCTGAACCCTGAAGAACCTGGATAAGGTGAGCCCTGATTTCTGGCCCTCCCTGTGAGCCAGGTTCCCCTGCCCTGGGTTCTGAGGCCGCCCATCAACCCCCACCCTCCACCCCTGGCACCTTCTGATGTTGGAGGCAAATAAGGCCAGATCAGTGGCATGGGATGTCTATTTCCTGTCACCGAACCTGTTCCAGCTCTGTCTCCCTGGGATGCTGCTGTTGCCATGCCAACAACATTCTCTCTCAGAGGGGCTGTTACTAGGCTGCAGGCCCCAGTGAACCTGCCTTAATGTCACTGACAGTATGACTTTCGGGAAGCAAAAACTCTGCCCCTGGGGCCCTTTTTTCCCTACAGGCTGACCCCTGCTTCCCAGCCTGTTTATTCATTTGCATAATGTAATAATGGCACTCTCTGTTTGCAGCCCTCACCTAGGCTGCCCAGGACTGGTCTTTCGCTCTCTCTGGCTCCTGCAGCACCTTGACAGAAGATGTCTGTGCCAAACAGTAGCGATAGGGCTGCTCTGCTCAGAGGTCCTCAGCCCAGGGACTCCAGGCTTTCCTAGACTCTGTTACTAACCCTAACCCAGGACTATTGCTAGACCCTGGGACTGCCCCTTCTTTACCCTGACCTCAAGACCTCTTCCACTTAACCACTGCATGACCTTTCCTTGACCTGTGACCCTTGAGCTGGTTATCCCCTTTGGTGGTCCCCTCTCTCCTTTTCCTTTCTCCAGTCCTCCTGCTGATCTTACTGATAACCCAGAACCTGATCAGAAGTCAGGTGACCCCTGCTCCTGTCCAGGTAAGTAGCATATGGAGGAGGAGAAAGCCTCCCGGGTCCCTTCACCCGTGGGAATGAGGCCACAGTGCAAACCCTTCTACAGATATGCCACAGCTTCCACTGCTTTGGAGAAATGTGCTACCAGGAGGCAAAGTTCTCCAACCAAATGGCAGAGTGTAAACCTGGGGAGCACCACTGTGAGGTAAGGGGTGGGGCTGCTGCACAGCCCCAGGTGGGAAGCTACTGCAGGGTTGGGAGTGGTGCCATTGGGAGGGGGGCTGATCCAGGTACACACAGGAAGGTGCTGGGAGAGAGACACTGAAGTGGGAAGGAGAGGAGTCTGAGATGCTGGGAGAAGCTGAGATACAGCCCAGGACTGGCTGCTCCCCACCCCATCCTCCTGGACTCTCTGCCACTCTCCTTATCCAGCTGATTCAACTCAACACTTCCCACTACACGGCCCGCTGCAGCCACAGTTGTGAGGGGGGAAATGGAACTGGTTCCAGCCCTTGCCTGCTGGCCAACAACCCGGCCCCCAGCCCAGAACCCTGCTCTCTGCAATGCTGCAGTGGCCACCCTCTCTGCCTGGTGCTCAGTGAGGTGACCTCGGAGACAGCCTCACCAGCCTGCAGCTCCAAGCCCCTCCTCCATCGCCCTCCAACTCCAAGCCCCTACTCTGACTCCTGCTCCCATTGGCCCCATAAGCCCTGAGCCCCACCCCACCTCTCCCCAGCCCATAAACTTGCCCACCCACTAACGCCCAACTCTGAACCCCACCTTTTGACAGGTCCTCAAATCTGAGCTCAGTTTTCACCAACTCCCCAATCTCTATCAACACCCTAACTACTAAACCTTGTCAGGCTGACCCTTATCTTTGAGATCTGTTCACCTCATTGATGCCCCAAGTCTGAGCTTCAGGGCCCAACTGCTTCCAGGTTCCCCTTCCCAACTCTCACCTATCCCCAGCCCACCTTAGCCAGTACTCCCCACCCCACGCCCGCCCTCAAGCTCCAAGGCAGCCAGGACAATCTCCTGTGCTTGTCTAGGGTAGCAGCAGAGAGGGAAATTGCAGGTTGTGACTGTCTCTCTCTCTCTCTCTCTCTCTCTCTCTCTCTCTCTCTCTCTCTCTCTCTCTCACACACACACACACACACACACACACACACACACACACNTCTCTCTCTCTCTCTCTCTCTCTCTCTCTCTCTCTCACACACACACACACACACACACACACACACACACACACACACACACACACACACGAGATGCCCTCCCTTGGGGGTGGAGGCTGGGACTTGCAGAGGAAATGTCCCCCAGCAGAGGTGTCACAGCACTTCCCCAGTCAACCCCACTCTGCTCCCAGGTCTGGCCACCTGACCATCCCAGAGGACAAGTTGGTTCTCACTCCACCAGCCCCTGAGAGAAATGTGAGTGTCTCATTCACACCTGGCTGCTCTGGGAGGTGGAGGCAGGGATAGCATGTAGTGGCCGGGGCCAGTGGGATAGGTGCGATGGGGCTCCAGCCTTGCCTCTGTCCGGCCTTCACTTCCTGTTCAGTCTGAATATAGCTCCCCACCTGTCAGCCTTCTCTCCACTTTGTCTCCCAGGAGTAAATCTGTGCCAACTTCTCCTGCCAAGGCAGTGACTGCTTCAAAGGGCAGAAAGCTGTGGCCATGTGCCCTGAGGGCTTGGACTTCTGTGAGGTGGGTCCCTGGAGTGCTCCAAGGATTGGGGTGCTGTTTTTTCTCAGAACTGCAGTCCTTTCTCCTGCCTGGATAGAGAGTAGGTCAGCAGCTGAAGCTGGCTGGAGCTAGACCATGTGGGAGCCAGGCCGCCTGGGGCCTAGCATGCTTGACCCTCTCAGCTCTGCCTTAGGCCTAATCCAGGGCAGCAGCTGGAATTTTGCAAGTCTTCCTGACATGGCCCCTGGCTTCTGTTCACCCTGTGCATTCTCTGGAGACTGGCTGGCTGACCTTGTGGGAAGCAGGGTAGGGGGTCCAGAGAAGTTTGGCTCAGCCGTGGCTCACTTAACACTCTGCTTCCATGGGTGGGGTAAAGGGGCAATGGGAAGATGAATGGTCCTGTCTCTTCTTGCTGCTGAAACGGTCCAGAGCACGTTACACTGCAGGTTGCAGCCGGGCCTGTGTGGCAGAGATCCACAGGTGTTATGGGCCTGGGGCTCAGTCCTGCTCCCAGGAGTGCTGCCCAGCCTCGACCTCAGGCAGCTGCCTCCAGCTGGATGGGAACCTCCACTTCAGCCAGGCAGCCCCAGGGGCCGCCAAGAGCCCCCTGCATTGGTCCCTGGCTGGGGCCATGCTGCTGCTCCTCCTGCTCCACTAGCTGGGCCCAATGAATCAGGGAGCAGCAACCAGGAAGACTCTGCAGGCCTTACAAGCCCCCAGGCCCAGCCCCAGCCCTGATTCCTGTAGCTGTATCTTTAGTGGAAGGGATTTATCAAGTCCACAGTTCTGGGTTCGAGGCTCCTGCCTTCCATCTCCCAGGGCCGAGGCCTGACCATGGTGTCCTCAAAGGGGTCAAGGACTTAACCCAATCCCAAGGAGAGGCTGGGGTTTATCTGGAAAAATAACCATTGTGTTTTCCCGCCTGACCCCCATCAAGCGGGAGGGCCCCAGAGGACAGATTATAAAATGGGCCCAGGCCCATCCACTTTTCCCAGACCCTCCTCCCCAGCCTTTGATGGTAAGAGTGGGGCTGGAATTGGGGCTCCTCTGCTTTCCTGCAGTGACACACAACCCCTTTATCTCTAAGGGTCTGTATCAATCCCCTTCCCTTTCATCCCCCACACAACTTTAAAACCAAATGCAAATAAACTTGAGCTCCATTTGTGCTGTGGATGTTTCTGAGGAAAGGAGAAGATTGAGAAGAAGGTGATATGTGAAAGAGGTTTACTTATAAAAAGTTGGACTGGTCATGAAAGCAGCAACTCCCAGCTCAGGGAAAGGAGAGCGGGCACTGGTTAGAAGTCACAGCGGGGCCGGCCGAGTGGCGCGTTGGTTAAGAGCTGGCTTGGGATGCCAGAGGGCCCCGGTTCAGATCCCACATATGAGGGCCAGTGACTCTGCCCTCCACAGTTAAGATGCTGAACAACAGCTCAACCTGGAGCTGGGCTGCCCTGAGTCACCAGCGATGGCATAGGCTGCAGCCCCTGTGGCAGTGGGTTGCCATGGGCTACCGTGTGTAGCCAGCAGCCAGCGTGAGCGGCCAGCAGCCGCAGTGAGCGGCCGTCCAGAAGCCGGCGACTGATCTGCCTCGCCCGGGAAGAGCGCAATGATGGTGCCAACTTGGGCCAGTGAAGCAACGTCCTCCACAACTAGACTGAAGAACTAAAGGACAGCAACTTGTCTGTTCCCCTTCCCCCAATTCCCTAGCGCTGTTCCCATCCCCCCAATTCCCCAATAAAAATCTTTAAAAAAAAAAGTCACAGCGGTCACTCCTTCTCTGGCACTGACCCTTCACTTTGTGCCCAAGCTTGAGAGCAGTTAGGTTCATTAAGATAATTAATTAATTCATTCAATAAACACATTCTGAGGACCAAGTGTGCTGGGGTAGCGAGGAAAAGACATAGTCCTGTTCTCAGAGAGGTTACAGCTCAGTGACATGGCCCATAGGCTGAGAGACCAGTCCTGGACTCCCTGATCTGAGCTGGCCCTTTTTTGTCTACCTGGAGCAACCTCCTCATCTTAGATGAGGAAATCGAGGCCCCAAAGGAGAAAGGCCGTGCCCAAATGCAGGTGACCAGGTGAATCAGGGGAAGGGGTTTGGGAACCACATAGGGCACTGTTTCCGGAGGACAAGTAGAAAGGACTGAGTCTCAGCACAGTCCAGCTTAGGAACAGTGTTCACACCCTTTACAAAGTGTGTTCACATCCATTATCGTCATACAGCTCCATGCGGCAGACAGGACCAAGTGCTCCCCATCATGTCATCCACACATCATCCATATACACGTGAAGCTAAGGGGGAAATATGGCAGCGTGTGGCAGTGTCGGGCACAGAAGTTGACTTTTTCAGCTGAGGCCCAGTTTTGCCAATTGCTAGCTGCAGGGACTTGGTCAAATTGGGTAACTTCTCTGGGCCTCAGTTTCTTCAGCTGGAAACTGGAGGTAATGGTTCTTCGTAGTAGTATTCCCCACTTTAAACTAGGACAGTGTAGTTATTTGGGAACAGTCCCAGTAGGGCCAGAGTTGGCCCCCCTGGATGACAGGAGTTGAGAATGGAATTGAAAAATAAAAATGCATTATTTTTTTCTCTTGAGGAAGACATGACCGTCTTCCTTCTGGGCCCTGGGCCAGGAAATCTGGCCCTATGACTTACAGGGTCAGGGGTGGAGGTTAGGGCATTCATTAGAAAAACCTTTCTGGGTGTCTGGCGCACCCCAGAACCTAAGGGGTTAATGGGAACGAGGAGACCCTCATGATTGGAGCGGGCATGCTGGGACTTGCAGGCGGGGTGACTATCGTGCGCGGGGGCTGCTGGGAAACGTAGTCACTGGAGGGCCTCAGGCCCGGTGTCCAGCGCGCCCAGCCGTGACAGCTCAGGAGGTAGGTGGCAATGACCGGGCTGGGAGCAGGGAAGCCAGGACAGGGCTGGAAGGGAAGGAGTGGGCAAGCTGAGGGCTGGGACCCCTGTCCTGTGGCTGCCAGAACCAGACACCCACCTTGGCCTGCGGCTGATGCAATGAGGCCTGCTGGGCATGAAGCAATGGGACACTTTCCTGTCTCCAAGGAAAGCAGAATGGGACTTATCCAGGATGAGACCTTCCCCGAGAGTAACAGCATGCTTCCCCCAAGCCCATGCAGACACACCACTGACACTTCCCCCAGAGAGGTGCCAGCAGGACTAATACTGCTCCCCAAAAGGGAGGCAGAGTCCCATCCCCCAGAGCATTGGGACTGTGCCCCCTTCCGCATTAATGGCACCAGGCACCCCACTTCCCACACGTAGACTGGACCCTACTCAGGAACAATTGGACGCCCTCCCAGACAAAGGGCAGTACAACAACTTGTACACCCCACCAGGGGCAAAGAGACAATCCCTCTCCCTAGAAACTTTACAAGGCCCATCCTAGGGAGGAGGAGGGTCAGGCCTCCTCTACCCTCTCCCTGCACAAAGACCCCTCTTCCCTGACCCCCAGCCTTCTGAGGCAGCTCCATCACCTCCTGGGTAACTTGTTGACCAAAGGGGGCTCCGACCTGCACCCCCCAGGTGTGTCTGCTCAGCAGGGGCCAGCATGGACCAGTCTGTGGCGATCCAGGAGACCCTGGCTGAAGGGGAATACTGCCTCATCATATCCTTCCAGCGCTGAGCTTCCCAGCCCCGGGGCCTGCACTGGGGGAAGTGGAATGGAAGGTGTGTCTATGTGTCTACTCTCTTCCCTCTCTGTGCCATTAGGGGAGAAGGAAACCAGTACTTACTAAGTACTTAGTACTGCACTCTGCTAGGTGCTTTCAATACTCAGTTATCCTCCCAACTTCCTGTGACGTTAGGGTTTATGATCACCATTGCACAGGTGGGGAAGGCTCAGAGAGGTAAAGCTATTTGCCCAAGGTCACACAGTGAATCTGTGTGGGCAAGGGATGGGTAGGGAAGGTGGGGTGGGCTGGGTTAGGAGAGCCCTGGCTGCCCGTTTCGTTCAGTTTCCCTTGACCCTGAGCAGCAGGCGGTGCAAGGGGTGCTATGCGAGGGAGACAGCAGACAGAGCCGCCTCCTGGGGCTCATCCGCTACCGCCTGGAACACGGAGGCCAGGAACACGCGTAAGTGCGGGGTTCGGTCCTTGCCTGTCTGGGCCATGGGGTTATTCTTCACTGTATCCTCCAGCTAGACTTCAACCACCCTCTGGGGCAGAGTCTGAGTCTTCCAGAAGAATTATAATAATGATTGTTGATTTTTTTTTTTTTAAGATTTTTATTGGAGAATTGGAGACAGATGGAGACACTGAGGTTCAGGGAAGGAAAGTGGGTGGCTAAAGTTGCACTGTTCCTGTCACAGGCAGTGCTAGAATGTGCAATGGATAGATCAAACACAGGTTTTATTAACAAAGCAGGGGCTCCCCAAAACGAGACAAGTTCAGCTTTGATGACCGACCTATCCGTAAATTGCAGTCTCTAATAGGTACCATGGCCAGAGAGGGCATGAGAACTGTGCATACCTGGACACCACCAGCACAGCCCTAGGGACCAAGGAGGGAGTGTGAGCAGCCCGAGGCCTCCATGATGGGCCTGAGGGACAGCCAGCAGGCCCTGTCCTCACCTCTGCTTCCTGCCCTTAGTCTCTTCCTGTATACGCACCGGAGGATGGCCATTACCGGGGATGATGTCTCTTTGGACCAGATAGTGCCTGTGTCGCGGGATTTTACACTGGAGGAAGGTGCCACGTGGGGCTGGGCGGTATGAGTCCCTCTCCTCTGGGCCCCCAGATCATTTCTGCCCTTGTTGGGGGTGGGGCACTGGGAACAAGGATGGTGCTGGGACTGGGGTGCTCAATCGCTAAGAGCCTTTTCATTTCCCTCCCCTCAGTGTCCCCAGATGGTGAACTCTACATTCTTGGTGAGTGGTCCTTTCAGTCTGGGTCCCAGTTAGGGCAGGGGGGACAGACAGGACCTGCAGGGAGGAATGGTGCGAAATCAGAGCACCCTCTGAGAGCCTTCCTGTAGCAAGCAAGACCCTGCAGAATCGGGCCTGCCCACCTCTTGGGCTCAGTTCCTGTCACGTGCTCCCTTGCTTGCTGGGCTTGAAATCCTCTGGATTG